TAATCTATTTTGTCACTGATATCATCGACTTCGAAACGTAAGTTGGCCAAAACAATAAAAAACCAGCAAGAGAGGTGGTCGAGGAAGACAGAAAAGATGTAGAAGAGAGAGAAGTATAGCGAGGAGGAGAAAGATGGCTTTACCATAGCCATGTCTTAGACTTGAGATCCAGAGTGCAAGACACAAGAGACGGGGGAAGAGGATGAAGGGTAAAATGTCTTTCTGCTTAAAAATTTATTGACATTCAAGTTTCAAAAGATTTGAGAATAATTATCATATTTTTTAAAATCTTATTGTCGCTTTCATATTTCAAAGAGATTTTTTTAACATTTTTTCAAGGTTTATTTGGTTGGGAGGAGTTTTCCCCTCCAAAACCTTCCCCCTCCTTGTTTGGTAAGGCGAATCTTCTCTCCCCCAAAACCTTTCCCTTAAATTGAGAAGATCCTTTCTCCCTGCCTTCCTTCCAACCAAAAATCCTTCTTGAATCTTCTAGTTTTTAATAAATTGTACAGACTTAATAAATCATCCGAATTTCCCTTCCATGTATTTTTAATAAATAATTCCATTCAATTTTTTTTCTTTCAAATATTTCATTCCTCAATATGCACCTTTGAGTGAGGTTCGAAAGTGACCCACAAGAACAGAGATGAACAAAATCCAGAAGGTAAAGAGGCGGCTTTTGAGAAGCAACGCAAACGGGCAATCCCACGAATAACCACCTAGAGTGAGAAAAGCGAGACACAAGAGTCGAGTTCATGAGCCCCCCATAGACGGAATATCGACCCCGGTCCTGTCGGCCACAATGGGAGTTTAGCCTTTGGCATCTTATGCTGGAAATTTTGGGATCTTCGGAGTAAGAGACTCTCTGCGGGCAAGTCCTTCAGACCGGACGAGATCAGGGACGATGGAAGCTACTGGTAATCATACCATTCGTGCCAAAAAATTTGCCCGCGCCTTTAATTTGAACTTGTAGTCCTTGTACTGATGTTTTATCTTTTGCTGTGTAAACTCTGACTTGTATTAGTTAATTCGTTTTAACTCGAAATGATTATGAAGAAAGATTTTGCGATCATGTGCCCCTTTTTTTTTAACACAGGGTGATAACACTGACACCAATTCCGAATTTGTGCTGAATTGAAACTCGTACCAATGTGAAATAAATAAATCAGCAAACAGCAAACTCCACTAGACTGAATATGCTAGTGCTTAACCTCGTCGTGAGAGATTAGTTAGGTGGCTTAATTTAAGAGAATAAAGGTCCAAACTTTACAACAAAATACATGGAACGCGCTTATGTGTTTTAATCAATATTAAACTCGCTAGTCTAGTTTGAAAAAGACTGTATATACTTGAAAGAATTTTCCATGGATCCCGACGCTGTTCACTCCATCATTTTGTAGGGACAGCGGGGTTGTTCATATTGGGGGACAAACTTGGCATCTTCTATCAGACACAGACGACGTAAAAAGGCCTGTAACCCACTGACGAAACCTCACGCGATGATTTTGAGTGCGATGCGCTGAGAGTACGGAGGAGTCCATGTGAAGCAATTAATAGTAAAGGAATTAAATAAAGCTTGATTAGCCAAGCCAAGCCAAAACAACCAAATTAAGCTGGCTCCTACTAGGCTACTACATACATAATATACCCGTTGTTTTACACAAGAGGACCTATTGCAATTTGCAAGTACACAAATTTCTAGACCAGCAATTGAGTTGTTATTAACAAAATGCTAATGCTCATTGCTAAGTTCCCCCTCCCCTTTGGGGCTGCGAGATTTGGGGGGCTATTATTTGGTGTGACGCGGGAGCAGGAAAGAACAGGAAGGGCACCTGATAAGACCGTTCACGTTGCAAGATGTACAGCTCCTGAATCCGCTCTTCTCCATGTAGACCTTGTGGCTTCCGTTACAATCGTCGCACACGACAAATCTCATGCCTCCGCAAAGATCACACGCGTTTGGATCCGACCTTGGCAGCTGTTCGATTAATCTCCTCAATTCGCCGCTCTCGTGTAGCTGCTTGACGTCTTCAGCGCCGCCAATGTATATTCCTCCGATGAACACTCTAGGCAGGGTCACGTTCTTACGGCCGAGGATCCCGTGAAGCTCGTCCAGGAAGCGATCGTCCATGGATACATCTCGTTCGTCGATCGAGACGCGGAAGCCGCGGAGGATTGATCGGACGGCTCTGCAGTCCTCGAAGGTCCTGCGCACCACGCGCAGGCTGGTAAAGTAGACGACGATGCGCTGGTCGGAGCCCGGCAAGGCGATGGAATTGGATAGCACGCTGCTGCGGCCAGTGCCCCACGCGCGGAGAACAGCGGTTGAGATCCGGACCCGGCGGAAGAGAGAGGGGGATCTCGGGGCAGCGAGTTCGGGTTCCGGTTGCTCCTGGCAGAGGCTTTGAATGTCTTTAAAGGAAGAGCAAGAGAAGCTGAGTGAACGGGTAGCGGATCGGGCGGTTGAAGGCAGCGGTGTGTTTCGGGACCTGCTTGGCGATCTCAACCATGGCGGCCACATGAGCGATGAGGGTCTGAAGAATTAGGGAAGAGTAGGCTTTGAGAGCAGTGAACGAGAAGGAGGGAGGGATGTTTCCTGTAATTATATGAAAAACAGGTCAATTAAAGGAAGGGTCGTTCATTGATGACAACCCTAAATGTGCATGTGCCTTTCTTTCGCCCCCTCTCCTTTTTGCTTTTGAGTTTCAAAACGTTATCTTTTCAAAGACTTCTGCAAATTTATCATTTTATTTCGATTTTCGCACACGAGCATGAAGGCTACCTGATTCGCACTGAGCTAAGACAGGATCTATCTTTTCATCTTGCTCATGGGAATGAAAAGCCTCTAATTTTTGGAGTCGTCTTCCCTTCATTCAAGAAAGCCTCTTCTGCCGCTTCATTCAAGTAGCAAAAAAATTAAACCATGCTTCAATTTAATATTTTAAATTTATATTTTTAAAATAAAAATATATAAAAAATTAATAAATATATTTATTAATTTAAAAATCTATATTTAATATAAATGATTTAAATTTAATATTAAATTTTTTTAAAAAGTTTACTATTCTATTCAAAATATATTCACATGGTTCAAAATATATTTAAAAAATTAATTTAAATTTTTAATATTAAATTTAGGTCATGTATATTAAATTTAGACTCTCAAATTAATGAGTATATTTATTAAAAAATTTTATATTTTTTATTTTAGAAAATATATAAATTTAAAATAAAAATTAAAAATATTAAATATGAATTCTTGATATTAAATTTAAATGGTTCAAATTTATTTCAGCATTAATGAGGAGGCAGAGGAGGCTTCCTTGAATGGAGGGAAGCCGACTCCCTAATTTTTGCCCCATCAGCTAATTCTTTTTGGACTACCTTCAGCTAAATGGATTTTTGTTATGCGAATGCCGCGTGAAAGAGAAATCAGAAAAGCCGCTTTTTTGTTGAGCTTTTCATTAATAGCTCGGTCATCTGTTTTTGGTTGAAATAAATACAACAATTATTGGAAATGGCAATGTTTTACCAAGCGTTTTTTTTTTAATGCCTAAGAGAGCAATGTTTTATCAACCTAAAGGTTTTAACTTTTAATATTCCTTTCCTTTAATATTATAAAACATTTTAAATTAAATTAAACATTTGAATAAGTTAATTAATTATTTTTAAAATTATACATTCCTTTTATATTTATCTTTAATTAATATGATATTTCGATTAGAAAATTTTATTGATCAAACTTTTAATTAAGAATTTTTTTGTAGAAAATATTATTAAGTACACTTTGAAAGACTCAAAATATCTTTTGTTTTTAACATCTCATCTCATCTTAAAAAAGAAAAAAATGCCTCGTATGTTTGTATGGGTAGAGTAATTAATTGTCTTTGAAATTATATTTCATGTTTTTTCCTATTTAATAAGGTTTCTTAATTAGAAAAGCTTATTAATCATACCCCTAATTAAAGATATTTTTGCAAAAACTTCATTTAAATTTTAAAGGATTTAAAATGCTTTATAATTTTTAACATCTTATCTTAGAAAAATGTCTTATTTTTTAACAAGGGAGTATTAAACTTCTTATTATAGACTATAAAGAACTTTTTTGAGCCCCATAATTCATCCTATTTTTTTACTGACAAATTACACTAACTCATATTTAAATCAAACCTTGACTGAGAATTTTTCCTAACATTATTTTTCATTTATAAGAATTGAATTTTAAATCTCAAGAAAGCGTAAATTAAATATTGATGTTATGAAAAATTGAATTTGAGTGTATTTTTAATACATCAAGGTGCTTAAACGCATTTCTTGTTTACATTTTACCATATCGATATTGTCTGAGCTTAACTCAAACCTGTATGGCATCATTTCAATAATTTTTCAGTGCTTGAATAAAAGGGTAGTTAAATCTTTTACATTTAATAGAATTCATTCACATTTATTTAGCAATAGCCGGTTTGTTTGGGCACATTGAGCACGACTAATGAATCTTGCGAGAACTTTCCTTCTGTATTTTCCCTCCTTCCCCTTTCCGTTTTCTGCTCTATTTCAACTCCACTATGCTATCTTGCCAGGAGGGGATATACTCCACGAGCTTACAGAGTAATAATTTCTCTTCTGTCCTCTATAATAAAAAGATCGTATTCTGCATTCTTCGTCAACTGAAATTCGAGCCTCTAAAGTTAATGAAGTCCAACAAAGTATCAATACTTCATGTTTATCTTTCTTCATACACACAAGACTAATTTTATATATACGCAAGGTATGTTAAATTTCACTAATGTCAGAAGCTCAAAACCTCAGAAAATCCGGATCAATCTTCCTCGTCTTCTGCCTATGAAACATGAACTTTTGTTTTTTTGGTCGAACTCTAAGAAACATGAACTGATGTAGTCCGGTAGGGTTGTATCTTAACGCGAAACTTTCAGTTGTTAGGAGGAGCTCAAGTCACGAAGAATCACAACTAAATGGCATTGAACGCACGACAGGTAAAATGAGGAACAAAATCTATGTTTTCATACAAGGTCAAGTCTGGTCTACAAAATTCATACTCGGACAAGACATGTCAGAAAATTTCAGTATTGTAATTGTAAACCTGTTCTGTAACATCCGTTTCTTAATTTTGTATCCAGAACAAATTAAAACTGGAGGTTTCAAAAATGGGATATCCTATCACAGCGACCCTGTTCATTATTCAGCGTCCACCTGCCTTGGGGCGCCAGAAACTCTTTCTACCCACAAGAAACTGATCTTGATGTATACTCACAGACCAGTGAAGTGAGCGCAAGATTGGGCTCAGCTTGCTAATTACTTCCAAGAAGTCTTGAACCACAAGATATCCTTCCGGTCTCAAAATACGGTCCATCTCCGCAACCACGTCTAAAATGTCACATCTGCCAAAAATTGCATTTCATTAATCATATTATATCTTACACATACCTTGGCTATATATAGAAACGAACGGACCCAAGTCTCTGTTTGGTAGCAACAAAGAAAAATGATTATTTGAAAATTGATATATATATATATATATATATATTCTTGGAACCATTACTTAATAACAACTACTTTTTATTATTAATTCAACACTTTGTATTTAGAAATATACATGACATATCGCATTTAAAAATAAATTTCCGTTTAATACGTTCCCATTCCATTCTGCATACAAATCAAGCCCTAAAAATTCTAGGATAAAACGAGAAGAAAGAATGTGTCAAATTCAATTACCGTACCTTTTCTCAAGATTTCTAAGGAGGAAGCTTGAGTGAAGAAGATCATATGTGCGAGGATAGGTATTGAAAGATTCGCACCAATCGTGGTACATTCCTATAAAACCCCTATCAAATATGATAGAAAGAGTGTCTGGCAAATCAATGGGCATCACATTCATGACCCAGACTGGTCGATCAATGAGTGCTGCGGCAAACCTGAAGAGAAGAAGGACATGTAAAAAACTATGCTCAGTCATAACTTTATAGAGGAAGGGAACTATGTGTGTGTGAGAGAGGGGGGGAGAGAGAGGGAGAGAGAGCCATGTTGAATACCAAAGGCAATCTAATTAAACAATTAAATGGGAAGAAGGCGATGGGAAAAAAAACTCTCAAACACAATATACTTTACCCTCCATAACCAGCATTCATGTCCATTATATTTCGCACCCTAGCCCAATTGATAGAAAGACCATTCGCATAGACATCTGAGACTAGTTGTGACCAGTGTTTGGTGTCCTTGTTGAACATCTCAATAGCATCAATATTAGACGGTAAGCTAGGGGGTTTACTAGTAAGCCTCTCGGGCCAGGGCACAGGCCATCTCTGCAGTTTACCCATGTTGTCAACCAGAAGAGGCGAAAGACAACTGCTGAATCTGGTATACCTGTAACGTGAATACCAAACTTCTTTCTTAATGCCAACAAAGTAAAACTAACGAGAGTCGTATACTTAGCATTATTTGCAATGTTCCAAATACAGCACGTTGGTTGATTCCATTCTTGCATATCACACAGCAAAAAGAAAAACACAAACATTGGCAGAAAAGTTTCTCCGCTTCCTCCCTATCATCTGGATTTGGAAAAGAAACAAAAAAATATATAAATACCATGAGCTATTTTTTCCATCCTTCTCTTGACACAGAGGTGGACTATTCACTTTGCGTTTTCCATAGCAATCAGGTGAAGTAGGCTTCTGGTATATAACCATCCCAATTCCAGATGAATCAAAAGTCCTAGCCACAACCGTCCAGCACATAGATTTTATTACAGTCATCGTGGCTGCAGAAAAGATGTCCAGCATCATCCATCTTAGAAGAATTTGAATGTTCTCCAATTTCTTTGGAAAAACATACCATCTCAATGCTTGAAGGAAATAAAATAAAACAAGATTCCAATTTTCTAAAATATGCAAAACTGCCATGGAGGCAGAAATGCAGGTATCTCAAGTTAGGCCATTTTTAGCGTCTCATTGATTGGGCCCTTCACATATGACTCATATGAAATGTCCAAAATCTTCCCGATACAGAGAGGACAGGAGAAACTGACAGCAAAGACATGTAAAGGGGAGAAAGAAAACGGGTTGGGGGGGGGGGGAGGAAGAAACAAACCATTCCATACTTTCTGATCTCTTTCATCATCTCGATAAACTGGTGTCGCAGACCATGCAAAGAAGCCTCCAGGTCTAAGAATCCTATTGAGCTCAAATAATGGTTTACCACCTAAAATTGCAAGCCAGATTTAACAATAGAGATTCCTGTTGCAAATAAAATAGATGGAACATAGACAGAAGACAACTAGTACCATCTGCATCCCAATGTACCCTGCATCGTGCACAGTGGATCAAATCATATCCGTTATTTGGAAATGTCAATTTTTGTGTTCCAATAACAGATAGAGTTGCAGGAATTCCTCGCTCTAGAGCAAACTGTATCTGAGCTTCATGTTCATCCTTTGGGGCGAACGACATGGTCATCACACCATTGTCGAGCAGATAGCCACCAAAGCTAGCAACACCACAACCAACATCTAAGACCACCCTGATATTCTTTCCCCATTGAATTTCTGGCAGTGTCTAGTGTGAAATGAACATAAAACAACCAACAGAAAAAGGTCAGGATTCAAGAAGTACATCAATATCAAGTCAACTCAGCAGAATGAATGTGCAAGGCACAGTACATTATGTTTAAATCAAAATGAAGCATTGCTTAGATTCACAGTAAGGCGCTTCCTCCGGACTACAATATAGAGCGTTTTCTAGAAACCCCACTTGGTCTAAGCTTTGCTTAGATTCACAGTAAGGTACTCCCCTTGGATTATAATATAGAACATTTTCTAGAAACCCTACTTGATTCAAAATATAGAGCATTGCATAGATATTATATATGTTTTTCAATTATACCCTTATGTTATCATATTTCACTCAAGTAATTAATGAGGGTATTTTGAATAAGTTAAATATTATATTTATTATACTCAAAGGTGTTGGAAAAATGAGAAAATTTTAAGAAAATAAAGATTTTAACCAATTTTTTAGAAACATTAATTAGTTAACAATGACTTATATTGTGATCCGGAAGGACTAGGAAGTGTGTAGTAACACTAGTGCTGACTACAAACAGAAACAGCATAGAACAAAGTCTCATTCAGTAACTGAATGAATAAAGACTTCTCGGCCGATTCTATGATGTGCTTTGCACATAGTTGACAAAATTTCACCAATAAGTCCTCCCAGATAAAAACTAGTTCCGACATTATCTTTATCAGGACATGATTATAGTTTCTATGTTTCCATAGCAGTCACACAAGGATTAAAAAATTAGCAGGTCTCATACTTTAGGAAAGTTAGGAGGATGTGAAGCCATTTAACAGATACCTTCTGTATGTACTCAATATAATGATCAACTCCATCTTTAAATTGGGTGCCACCTCCTGGAAAGACAAGATATTCACCAGACTTTACCACCCAATGTTGGTCCTTCTTGTACTCAACGAGCTTTGGATGAGGCACATTGTCATACCAAATCTGAAAAACGTAAATGTAAAACTCAATCACCTTTACTTTCAACATTATCAAAGTAGAAACTGCGCACATAACTAAGTACCAAGTAGAACAACTTCAGAATATGGTAATTTTTCTCAAGAAGATTATAAAGTTCTGCTCAACACCAAGAAAAAAAAAAGTGAACATTCTTGATATGCCAAGCAGTTAATCACGCCCCCAAAGTTCTAACCCAAAACAAGAAGATTGACAAACTTGAAAGAAAAACCTAAAGAGAAATAAGTGCAAACATCAGTGTCCTGAAACGCAGACGGGATTAACTACAAAATGAAGTATTGATTGAAGGTAACATGAATGTATGAATTCTCAAGAAATCCTTATCAGCCAATCAATGCGTCAAAAAAATTCTCAACAAGGGAACGCATCCATTGATACCAATAAGTTCTCTTACCGAAGTATCAATCTCACCATGTCCCTGCTCTTGGGCCACGGAACTGGGACTTTATACCCATTCGGAAGCGGCACCAAACAGCGCGGAGTAGGATCCGGACAATGCCTTTCCCTGTGCTCCATGTGCCTCCTACTTTTCAAAGCCTTGATCACCTTATAATTGTCCAAACAGGGTATATTATCTACCGCCATCGGTCCCCTGCATAGCTTCCAATCAATATTCACATCAACCGAAACAATATTATCGACATCCCCCTTCTTTTGGGGAAGCTCTTCGTCCTTGGGTTCTGTGATCCGAAGCTCGCTTTCGGGCAGCCCTTCGCCTTTGGGAATCGTGATCGGATCCAAGTTTTGGGGTCGCCCTTCGGCTGCGGGTGTTGTGGTAGGGGCCACTTTTTGGAGTGACGGCTGGTCTCCCCGAATTTCGATCGGGGCAGCGAAAGGGGTCGTGGATGGCTGGCCTTTAACATCAGGATAGAAGAAGACGCGGTTGAAAGTGGAGGTGGAGGAGGAGTTAGTGAGAAGGAGGAGCGTGACGCAGAAGAGCAAAATCAAGAGTGAGAGAAGGAAGGGGGATTTCCTTTCTTTGAAGAGAGATCCAACCATAATGGGCATTTCTTCAGCGGAATGGAAACACGAAAGAGAGAAAGAGACGCAGTTGAAGGAGGGAAATCTTCAAAATGACGCCATCCAAGATGAACAGAGAGGGAGATGGTTGTGAGTGAATTGAATGATACAATAAAGAATTGAGTTAATTCTGCGATCTCCGGAACACGGGATTGGGATGGGACTGTTGGCCGTACCGCCGTACCACTCCAGGGATCGCTCGCTTTCGAAGAGATGTGGTACCACTGGCATAGATAGCGGTCTTTTACTTTACAGGCTCCAACGCAGGAACGGTGTAACTTGTAATCTAAGTTAAGGGTGCCTTTGGTTTTCTCTCATTCAATATTTCGGACTTTTGTTAAATTTTTAAAAAGTTAAAAGGTGTTTGAATAATTTTTTAAAGAGCAAAATCACTTTCAAAAAGTGAAGTGAAATAAGTTTGAAATGTAAATTTTAAATTTTTTTTTGGTGAATTTTAAATATGAATTTTTTTTACTCTTTTATTTTTTTATTTAAAAAATATTTTCTCTGTTTAAAAATATAAAATATTTTTTAAAGAGTTAGATATTTAAAAAGGTATTTTTATTCAGTCTTTTGAAATATAATTATTATCTTTTTTTAAAAATTTTCTATTAATAGTGAATTTATATTCAATATAAGATATTTAACAGGGATAAATATGAAAAGATAAAGTTAATTTAAAAATAAATAACTATTTTATTGGACGGTAAGATTCAGTTAAAAATACCTTATATTTTTTAATAAAAAGAGTAGTTAATTCATTAAAAATATAATTATTATTTAAATAATAATAATAATTAAATATCAAGTTCTTATTATTATAAATTAAACAATTAATCATGTTAATTTTGAACACTAAAATATAATAAAAATTATAAATTTTTGTCACATTTTTTAAAATTACAAATTAAAAAGTACAAATAACCGAAGATCAAGTTTTTAATATTATAAATCAAATTTTATGTTATTTGAAATCTTTATCATATTTTTTAAATATTTTAAATATATTATATTTGTATAATAAAAATTATAAATCACTATAAATTAATATTCTTTTTAGTAATTATACATTTAAAAATATATTTTGCTATTACAATTCAAATGACTTTTAATTTATCAAATTAAATTTTAATAAAATATATTTAAATATAACTTTTATTATTTTACTGAACTAATTTTTATTAAATAAATTTTTAATATATATATTTTTAATAAATTAACCAACACACACCGACAAGTCTAACCACGGGCAGCAGGAGTTGAAGTGGTGAATTGCATAACGAAGAAGGCAATGCTCGCTGATGACTCAGGCAAGTCTTGTTGCTTGAAGAGAGAATCAATTTGCAAGACGTGCTACATTTGTCCTCAAATCCAAGGCGAAATCTAGGTCTAACAAAATAATAGTGATATTTTTTTAATAAAAACTGGGGAAAATAACAACTAAGGAGCAATTCCTCCCAATCAAGTTAATATTTTAAAGTTTTTTATGAAAAATTAAATATTATTAAAATAAAAATAAGATTTTTTTTTGAGGCAACAATTTATGCATCAGATTAAAACACTTGTTTCTTTCTAGTATTAAGTTAATTTTTTTGAATTGTCAATAAATAAATTAATTATTATTAAAATGGGAATGAGAATTATATTTTCTGAACGAGGACTTATTGTTAAAATAATGCGTGTATATGTGTGAAGGGTAATTTTATCTTTTCATATTATATTTTAATTATATTGTATCCTTTAATCATGCAAAATAATTAATTCTGTCCAATGATCGTTGATTGAAATTGTCTCTAAAAAATATTGCTAAAAATGGCAAATAGGGGCCGCCTGCTGACACCGGTTTGTTTTTTCGCCTTTGAAGTAATTTAGGTTGATTCATCCGTGATTTGTGATGGCTCGTTTCCCACGTCCCAGCCAAAAGTAGTAGTATTCTTGCTACTCACTTAAAGCATGAATCGTATCATACTTTAATAATGAACTTCGTGATCTCCGCAAATGTCATGTGCAAAATGTCATTACGTTTTTTAAAGGGTAAAAGTGTAAATTTAATCTTAAATTATTTTTTTAAAAATATTTGATAACTTAAACTATTAGATGTTGTAAAATAAATCATAAACTTTCAAAAATAGAGCATTCAATAACCCACCGTTAATTTCAGCTAACAGACATTGTATGAGGCCCACAATGATATGTGGCATAATATGTGCACGATACGTCAGCATGGTAAAGGTATAAATTTAGCCCCGAACTATTTTAGGAGTGTTAGATAGTCTCTACTATAAAAAATGGATCATCTAACACCTTCCTCTTATTTTTGACCAAATATCATTTATTTTCATACTTATGAGACCCATAAAACATTAATATCTTCATTTTCTTGCATTCGTTCTGAATTTCAACTCGAAAAGAAGAGGTTTAAATAGTTTTTTTCTAAAGATATTCACGAAGCTGACACTAACAAAGTATAAGAAATAATTTATAATTAAATTAAGTTAAAATCAAGCTTTTCACATGCATGCATAGTTAAATTAAGCTTATATTTTATTAATATCGTCATTGTGAATGTCTTCAGATAAAAATTCATTAAACCTATTCTTTTGGAGCTTATATTGAGAACAAATGCAAGAAGATTGGAGAGATTAATACTTTATAGGCTTCTTAAATATGAAAATAAATAATGTCTTATCAAAATTGAGGGAAAGGTGTTGGATGGTATATTTTTTTTATAGTAGAGGCCACCCAGTACTTCTTGAAAAATAGTTCGCAACTAAATTTGCACATTTATCATGTTGATATATCGTGCCACGTGTCATTGTGAACCCCACACAACGTCTGTTAACTGAAATTAACGGCGGGCTAATGGATGCTCCATTTTTAAAGTTCATAATTTATTTTACATCATCTGATAGTTTAGGCCAACAGATGCTTTTGAAAAAATAGTTTGTGACTAAATTTGTTACTTTACCATTTTTAAATCGACATAATCATTTAAGATACTGACAAGATTAAATATATCTTAACCGATATTATTATTATTAAAAAATTAGTTAGCAATTGAGATAGTGAATATTTGAATTGAACTTCAATTTATATTCAACATTTCAACTCCTATTTTCTCCAATATTTTCAATTTAAAATGCTCAGTTGAACCTCTAGAGCCTCTAATTACATGACAAAATGAAGCTTAGATCAACCGCGCTACCACGTGTCATCTGTTTCAAATGTTTCGTTATTCTTGGAAAAGAAATATTAATGCAAAGGGAGAGATTGTTGAGGTCAACATCCAAGACAGATAGATAATAATGAAAATAAAAACACAACAAAAACAAATATAATAAGACTGAGTATTCTCTTCAACAAGTATCTTAATCCCAAGTGACTTGAAGTTCGTATGATACAATTTTTTTTTTTTTTGAAATCTCTCGACAACAAAATGGAGAATGAAGATTCGGTTAAAGCTGTCACTATCTGGTTCTCCAAATCAGCTTCTTCAATTCCTGCATCAAATCCTGGTTCTTGACCACTGAATGGTTATCCTGACGATGCAACTTGGCCATGTGTCCGGCTTCAGCTACCAACACAATGATAATGCCTCAAACCCCAATCCTAGAGATAACACAAAGGAAGATTCCAAAGGTAGATGGACAAAAAATTAGATCATGAGCAAAAAAAAAAAAGAAAAAGAAAAAAAGCCGAAAATCCAAATTTTGAAGGTTCAAAAGAATTTAGAGGGCGATCTATGATTTAAGAATCTTTCATTCAGAAAAAGGACACGTGGCAAAATTTTATAACCTTCCCATTAGAGCCCTCAACTTCACAGGTCAGAGGACTTGAAAGCGAATCGGGGACCGGTCACAATCATTTTAAATGCCTACACGTTATGAAGTGTATACCAACTACCAAGCAATTAAAAAATATCAGACCACAATTAAAATAATAAAAAAATATAATTTTAAATCTCAATACTTCACTCATATTTTATCATATGTTTTTATATTTTTTTAATATTTTAAATTTTTTTTAAATATTTTAAATATCTATACTTTATTCATTTAAGAATTTAAAATACTTAAAAATAATATAAAATATTGAAAAAAGTGCTAGACTTAAAATAATATTTTTCTGATAATAAAAAATAATGCTTGCCTCAAAGACATGATCCCTGTATATGCTATAAAAGGCACCCAGCGTGGACTAGCAACTGCAAAAGGCTAACTAATTTTAGTTTAGCAAATTAAGAAAATCGAAAAACTAGCTACCTAAAACTATTGTTCAATCAGTGGCAGTACATGGTTATTGTTACTTTTAAGGAATTGTCAGCAACTGCACCTTTTTTTTTTTGTGGGTGACGTAACAGCATTATTTTCAAAATTAAAGTAGCGTTTGATTACAGAAAAAGGAAGGTAAAATTTAAAAAAAAATTCCCTCTCCCTCCAAAATTCCCCTAAATCCCCTCCCCCTCCCTCTTTTTTTTCTATTCCCTCCTCTTCAATCAAATAAAAGTTAAAAGAAGTATGGTCATGCTATAAAAATCGTTGCAACGAGAAAGGATAAAAATAAAAGTTGAAAATTTGTGGCTGGCGTGACCAGCATGCTACAGTAACAAGTAACAACTGATGCGTTGAAGTCAAAGAATGTTAGAATTGGAAAACTTGGGTTTCCCTCAAACTCTAAAGGCTAACAAAGAACATCACAAATCCACAATTGAATTGCAGATTCTCACAGTAGGCTTTTCAAAAAAAAAAAAAACAGGGTTTAAACACTATTAAAACATGCGCAATGCTATTAATCTAGTTCTCCACTCCGTATAGTGTATACCATGAATTTGTTCATAAATTGAGCTGGTAGTCTTAATAATATGCTAATTTTAGTGGTACAAATCAATTTTCACAACAATTTAAGTTTCCAGCAAAATATAAAGTCGAGAGGCAGAGTCCCAGATTTATGAAGAAGGTATTTCATATTTGTCTCAAATGTTCCCTTCCTTATTGAACCGTGGAATATGCAATAATTTTCTTTGTACAGTAACACGCTATATGTTTACATGGTTAATGACTAAAATCCAAAACAGATTCCCAGTCTTACCCGAACAAGAACAAGAAAAAAAAAAAATCAGAGGTTTACACTTCCACTCAGGGTTCCTTTTATCAATTCTTACGCTGTGCATTAAAGTGGAAAGAGAAGGAGAAAATGATGTACGAATACTAAATGGAGTAACATAATGACATTGATAAAATATTTCTAATCA